AATAAATAAAATCTTTAAAAAAAAAAAAAGAACAACAACAACAAAGCTTGAGGTATCACAATTTCACATTTCCAGATACACTACAACACTATTATATAAGAACAGTATGGTACTGGCACAAAAATAGACCCATAGGTCAAGGGAACAGAACAGAAAGCCTAGAAATAAACCCACAGTTATATGGTCAATTAATCTATGACAAAGGAGGCAAAAATATACAGAGGAAAAAATACAATCTTTTCAATAAATGGTGTGGGGAATACTGGACAGCAACATGCAAAAGAATAAAACTAGACCTCTTTTTTACACCATACATGAAAATAAATGGATAAAGACCTAAATGTGAGAACTAAAACCATAAAACTCCTAAAAGAAAAAATAGGGATGGTAATCCCTTGGCAACATATTTATGGATATATCTCCTCTGGCAACGGGAACAAAAGCAAAAATGAAATATTGGGACTATACCAAAATAAAAAAGCTTTTCACAGCAAAGGAAACCATAAACAAAACAAAAAGGCAACCTAGTGAATGGGAAAGGATATTTGCAAATGATATATCCAATAAGGGGTTGACATTCAAAATATATAAAGAACTTATACAACTCAGCACCCAAAGAAACAAATAATCCTACTAAAAATGGGCAGAGGACCTGAACAAACATTTTGCCAAAGACATAGAATGACCAACAGACACATGAAAAGATGTTCAACATCATTAATCATCAGGGAAATGCAAATCAAAACTATAGTCAGATATTACCTCACACCAGCCAGATAGGCTCACATCAAAATGACAAGAAATAACAAGTGTCGGCTAGGAGGTGGAAAAAAGGGAGGCTTCATGCACTCTGATAGGAATGTCAATTGGTATAACCACTATGGAAAACAGTATGGAGGTTCCTCAAAAAATTAAAAATAAAAATATCATATGATCCAGTAATTCCACTACTGAGTACGGACACTCCCTAAAAAACAAAAACACTAAACCAAAAAGATAAATGCACCTCTATGTTTATTGCATCATTGTTTACAGTAGCCAAGATATAGAAGCAACCTTAGTGTCCCACTGATAGATGAATGGATAAAAAAGATGTGGTATTTATATATAGTGGAACATTATTTTTTTAAAGATTTTATTTATTTATTTGACAGAGAGAGATAGTGAGAGAGAGAACACAAGCAGTGGGGAGTGGGAGAGGGAGAAGCAGGCTGCCCACTGAGCAGGGAGCCCGATGCAGGACTCGATCCCAGGACTCCAGGATCATGACTTGAGCCGAAGACAGATGCTTAACCAACTGAGCCACCCAGGCGCCCTGCATGCAAATTTTAAAAATTCATTTAGGAGGTCCAGGGGTCCATGAAAGAATGAAAACTGTGACAAGAGACTCTAACTATATTACAAGTGTTGGAAACAACCACACTAGGGGTGGGTAGGATGACCGCAACAACTTTGGAAATGGAATGGATTAAAGACAAAAGAAACTGCACATAAGCACTCTATTCTAGTTGATAAAGTTGTTTCCCATGGTGGTTTGAGTTTACAACTCTGATACTGCTATATGTGTTAACTGGAAATGAATAATTATGTAAATGTACTGAGCAGATGATGGGAACCAGATTTCTCTCTGTTGGAGTGGTCATTAAAGATATCAAGGGGAGTAGGCTAGAATGATGCAATGTAATCAATGAAAGTTTCAGACATCAGTAAAAACTGATGTGTACGCTATTACAGATACATAGTTACAGTATAAATATTTATCAATATATGTACATGCACAGGTTAGTACACACATATATATTTCCTTGTTCTGTGAACTGAGGGGGCCTAAAAGAAATAACACCTCAGTAGCAATGAGCATACCTAGTATCCAAATATTGGTTTCCAATACCATTCTTCAGTAACAGGAGCCATGGCTCCACAGAGAAATAGCTGATTCTAAGACTGAGACAGGAAATATACAGTATAAGCCCAGAGAATCTTACAGTCCCAGAAAGTAAGGAAGTGCTCAAAAACAAAGCATAACAACACATTGATGGGGGCAAGTCTAAGGGCCACAGGAACCAATTGAAATAACTCCCAGTGGCAAAGGCAGAACAATTTGAGCAACAAAATAAATATAGTATTGGATTGCAACCCAAAGTATAAGATAAATATCCATGAGTACATGATGATACAGATACATGATTGAATAAATTAATAAACAGGATAGAAGAAACAAATACCACATACACAAGAATTTCCAATAAATTACATAGAAACTTGTTTTGAACTGAATTGTGTTCCCCAAAAATTCATGTGCTGAGGTTATAATCCTCAATGTGACTACAGTGGTAGACTTCAAGGAAGTAATAAAGGTTAAATGAGGTTATAAAAAAAAGTAGGGCCTTAATCCAATAGGACTTGGGTTCTTTTTTTTTTTAAGATTTTATTTATTTGACAGAGAGAGAAAGCGAGCACAAACAGGGTGAGCAGCAGGCAAAGTGAAAGGGAGAACTGGATCCCCGTTGAGCAAGGAGCCCGATGCGGGGCTCAATCCCAGGACCCTGAGATCGTGACTGAGCTGAAGGTAGGTGCTTAACTGACTGAACCACCCAGGTGCCCCAGGACTTATGTTCTTATAAGAAGAGGAAGAGACATCAGAAAGCTCTCCCTTCCCATTCACACAGAGAACAGGCTATGTGAGGACACACAAGAAGGTGACTGTCTCAAGCCAAGAAGAAAGGCCTCACCAGAAACCAACTCTTATGTCACCTGGGACTTCTGGCGTCCATTACCGTGAGAAAATAAATTTGTTGTTTAGGCCGCCTAGTCTGTGATATTTTGTTACGGCAGCCAAACAGGCTAATAAGGATTTTGGCACCAAAGTGGAGTGTAACAAATACCTAAAAATGTGAAAGTGGCTTCAGAACTGGATGATGGGTAGAGACTAGAAGAGTTTTGAGGTGCCTGTTAGTAAAAAGCCTAGGTTGCCTTGAAAGAGCTGCCGGTAGAAATATGGATGTTAAAGGTAATTCTGGTGAGGGCTCAGAAAGAAAAGAGAGCTGTAGAGAAAGCTCCTATCATCTCAAAGAATATAGATATCCTATAATGAAAAGAATGTTGGTAGAAATATGAACATTAAAGTGCTTCTGCTAAGGTCTCAGATGGAAATGAGAAGTATGCTATTGGAAACTGGAGGAAAGGCAATTCTTGTTATAAAATAGCAAAGAATTTGGTGGGAGTTGTGTTTAATGTTTTATGAAAGACAGAACTTACAAACTTGGATATTTAGCAGAGGAGATTTCTAAGCAAAGTGTTAAAGCTGTGGCCTGATTTCTCTTTACTGCCTATAGTAAAATGCAAGAGGAAAGAGATAAATTGAAGAAAGTGTTAAACAAAAAGGAACCAGAATTTGAAGATTTGGAAAATTCTCAGCCTATCCATAGTATAAAAACTGAGAAAGTGTGTTCTGGAGAGAACACCAAAGATGTGGCTGGACAATCATTCCATAAAGAGATTACCCATGGTTTTAAACAGCCAGCTCCACAATGAAGACTATTTCATTGTACAGATAAAGATATGCATATAAGAATTTCAGGTCTTATGTATTTCTACACTTAGAGCTTGAAATGACCATGAGACTCAACTTCTTAGTATGATCTACCTGTGAATCTTATTGGAAATATTGACTTAGTATCCTTATATAGTACAGTCAACCAATGAATTATAGGCACATTAATTTTTACCTTCCATGGTCAAATTTTCTTTCATACATTCCAATTCTGTGTGAGTTCTTTTGTAGTCTTTTTTTCAAGAAGCTGAGAATACTTTTGAAAAAACATTGAAAAAAAAAAGGTCATTCATTTTCCTGGTAGTGTTATGACTTTGCCTTCTATTGTTACTTCCTTAGATTCTATTTTATAGCAACAAGATCTACAAATGCCCAATTGTTTGAGAAGGATCCTGACTGCGGAAAAGATGTCTCATCACCCCACATTCAATGTAATCCTAATTCTACTGATTTTGAAACCATAGATTTCTCCAGGAACAGCTGAAAGATGAGTAGTTGAAAGAGGACATGATAGTTCCATTAGAATGACTGCAAAGAGATTTATCCATGTTTTCCTTCAATACTAAATGCAAAGGCTAAGCCTTGGAGGTGGGAGAATGGAGGACAAACACTTCTGAGGATGTACACAGCATAGGTCCTTGTGGGGGAAATGAGCTAATTCTGAGGAGTTCTGGGTTACCTAGAGAGTAAGAATTTTGTTTTTAATCCAACATTAATCAGGAGGAATAGGCACTATTTTCTTCATCTTCTTTCCTTTAATCTATCTACTCCTAAATGGCTCTTATTCCTCACCACACCAATATACTCACAACTTAAAAATAACTTACCTCTCCCTCTAGAAAGTGAATTTTCTCTTTCTTTCCTCCTTATCTCACATTTGCTCCTTGACCCACCACATACTGGCTTAACTACTTCTCATGCCTTTTAAAAATTCAACAAATTCTTAAAGCCAAAGATACGAGGAAATCCACTTATTTGCTAAATTGGCTTTTAGATCTTACAGTCTTGGGCAGGACAGACAAACTCTTCCTGGAACATTTCTTCCCATCTCTTTTTGTCCACCTGCTCATCTCAAAATATGTCTCCGTGCACTCAAAAACCCCCGGCCTTATAAACACTAATAGGCAAATATAGCTTTGTCCTCATTTACCACAACTATCTAGGGTAGAAATGGTGCCTAATAGATGTCTCTCTAAACACAAACACATGTACACACATGTACTCTTCAATTTCTCTAAAGAGTGGATTCCATTATTTTTATAAACTAAATTCAAATAAGTAACAAAATTCATAACAGATTCCCATTAATTGTGTCCCTCCCCACCAACCCCAAAGAAGACCTCTTTTCCAGATTTCTGGATATACCCATCATTAAATGTCAGTATCTAATGGATGTCATCTCTTTATGTAAGACAGACATTCCTCACAGATTCAGATGAGTACTTACTGATAAAAGTGATAAAAAATGAGATTGTCAATAGCAGCAGAAGTACCAGCAACGAGGCAAAAAGTAGCTTGGGAAAACTGGGGTTACTTTTGTGTGGGCTGGTCTTCTCTTTGGGAGCTGAAGGAGAAATCAAATGAGTTTCATCAGTAATAAATTCTAGCTCTTACTTCCCTTCTCCTTCTCCCTCTTCTTGGATGACATAGTATTGCCAACGATATGACATTTGAAATAATATGAAAATAGGAGAAAAATAATAATGTTCATTGTAGAAACTTCAGAAAATATATAAAAGCACAGTATCCATTGAGTATAACTGTTGCTAATGTTTTGGTATATATCCTCCCAGTAATTTTTCAAAGTGTATATACATACATACATACATACACATTTTCCCACATGATTGACATACCATATATACTGGTTTCTGACCAACCATATTCTTATATACTATACCATGAACATTTTTCATACAAGCATATCTTCTTCTTTAACACTATTATGGTGGCAAAGTATTTCATTAGATATGTAAATAATCTTCCAGATTGTTCCCAACTTTAACTACTTTAAATAATGCCATAGCACATAAATCTTTATTATACTCATTCCCTCATCACATTCTTAAAATATGGTCAGAACTTTTTAGTCACTATTTAATGGTTAAGTCACTATTTCATTATTTTCTCAATGGGTAGTATCAAAAAAACAAGAAATAACGGTGTCAGTGAGGATATGGAGAAAAGGGAACCCTCACGCACTGTTAGTGGGAATGTAAACTGGTGCAGCCACTGTGGAAACCAGTACGGAGGTTCCTCAAAAAATTAAAAATAGAAATTTCATATGATCTATTAACTTCACTCCTGGATATTTACCCAAAGAAAACAAAGACACTAAATCAAAAAGATATATGCACTCCTATGTTCACTGCAGCATTATTTACAGTAGCTAAGATAGGAAAGCAACCTAAGTGTCCACCCATCCATGAGTGGACAAAGAAAATGTGATATTCATATACAATAGAATATTATTCCACCATAAAAAAAGAAGGAACTCTTGTCATTTGTGATAACACAGATGAGCCCTGAGGACATTATGCTAAGTGAAATAAGTCAGAGAAATCAAATACCAAATGATCTCACTGATCTGTGGAATCCGAAAAACAAAACAAAGCAAAACTCACAGATACAGAGAACAACAGATCGGTGATGGCCAGCGGTGGGGTGGGGGGTGGGTTATGGGGGAAGGGGATTAAGAGGTACAGACTTCCAGTTATAAAATAAAGAAGTTGTGGTTGTAATATATAGCATGTTTACTATAGTTAATGCTTTAGATTATTACAGTGTTATCAACTATTAAATATTATTACATACTTGAAAGTTGCTAAGAGATTAACTCTTAAAAGGTCTCATCACAAGAAAAAACAATTGGGTTAACTATCTATGGTGATGAATGTTAACTAGACTTATTTTAGTGATCATTTCACAAATATATACAAAAACAGGGGCGCCTGGGTGGCTCAGTCGTGAAGCGTCTGCCTTCAGCTCAGGTCATGATCCCAGGGTCCTGGGATCCAGCCCCGCATCGGGAGAAGCCTGCTTCTCCCTCTCCCACTCCCCCTGCTTGTGTTCTCTCTCTCTCTGTCAAGTAAATAAATAAAATATTTTTTAAAAATCAAATCATTACACTGTACACCTGAAACTAAGACAGTAGTCCCCTCCATTACCCACAGTTTCGCTTTACATGATTTCAGTTACCTGTGGTCAACTGTGGTCTGGAGGCAGATGATCCTAACAGTAGGTAGGTCACAATGCCTCTGTCATTCACCTCACATCATCTCATCACATAAGAATTTTATCATCTCACATTATCACAAGAAAAAGAAACGTGAATACAGTTCAATATTTTGAGAGAGACGCCATATTCATATAACTTTTATAATATATGGTTATAATTGTTCTGTTTTATTATTAGTTATTGCTGTTAATCTCTTACTGTGCCTAATTTAAATTAAACTTTTATCATAGGTATATATGCATAGGAAAAAAACACAGTATATAGGGTTTAGTACTATCCACTGTTCAGGCTTTCACTGGGGATCTTGGACCATATTTCCCACAGATAAGGGGGACTACTATATAATGTTATTTGTCAATCATACCTCCATAAAGAAATAAAAATAATTGTTTTCTCAAAGTTATGAGGTATTGACAAGTGGGGTATGCAATAGATTTTCTGAATGCAGGGCAATTTCCCTTGTAATGTTAGAGACTCTCTTTGTAACTTTCTCTTCTTTCATATGCAACGGTCTTTGGTTCCACTTCAGTCCGGCACTAACAAATACACCCACAACATTCTCTACTCAAACTCTTCCCCTCCAACTGAGCCTGCTAATCCATCAATAGCCCGTGCATTTGGGCTGATGGTTTCAAGACCTGTACCCAATCTCTTGACTGTATCTCACTCAGCTTCAGAAAGTACAGAAGAACAACTTCTCAGCATAATTAGCACTCTCCTTAGCTCGGGACTGTAGTGGATTTGTCACACCTCAATTTTGTTAAGAGTATAACTGTACACCCCCTTAATGCTTATCTTCAGGCAACTCAGAATCCAATGTGTCCCAACTGCAGCCAGAGAAGCAGCAACTAACATTACCTATGCTTCATTTATAGTATTCTCTCTTCATCCTTCATCTCATCATAAACTCTGACCACCAGAAAATGCTTCTTACCTGCAGGAGGCCATGATTTGGTGCTTGAGGACTTGGATTCATTTTTGAAACTCAATTCAGCATAAGTGGTCTCTGAAGTCATATTGAGAAATCTGCTCTGTTCAAAAAATCCTTTTAACCTCTTCCTTTACACATCTCAAAATGAAACCCGAACATGGTGGCAACTTGTCATACTTCCTATCAAGAACAGGAGCCCCTGATACGCAAATAACCCTAAGAGGAATCTCATGAAAATTAAAAACCTCAGAGAGAGGCCCAATCCCCAGGACCAACACAGTGAGAATCATAGCATTTAATCATAGCATAGAATCATATGTCAGCAAGTGTAATAAAAGTAGGAACTTAGGAACTCAAAGGGCAGATTAAAAAAAAAAAAAAACAGGAAGTAAACAAATGGAAACTAAGCAATTGGAGAAATCTTTTCTGAGACTTGTATTATCTGAACTCACCAGCAAGAATGAAATTCAAATATTTGTGTACATCTGTATGCAAACATAATTATTTCTAGACCAACCCAGGCATATACTCATTCATGCTGTATTCTCATCATTTGTAGCTCATCAGGCACCTTTTGGGTACCACATTCTGAGAGGATCACTGACAACTCACATGTTAGCCTCTCCATTTTCAGTCAGTATCTTCTAAAGTAGTAGGGAAGCCAAAGCTTATCATATGTCTTCTGAAGCTGCTCCTCTGTGCTGTTTTTCCCTGTTCTCAACTAACTCCCTCACAGATCTCCATTCATTTTGCTACAGTCACTTCCAGCACTCCTGAAAGCAGCTCTCTCTCCTGGGTGTTAATGGGGTAGGTCAGCCTTTACTCCACTCTTCTCTACCCCTTTAATCCCCACCACACCGCAACAAGACGATACAGGTCAATGTGACTATTTTTTAACAAGTTAGGATAATTTAATGGAATCACAAATTAGGAGATAACTCAGTCACAAATACGACTTTTTCTAAAGGACAAGAGGAAATCACTCGGAAAATTGAACCTTCATATAGAATCTTCCCAGACATGCTCTTAGCTCACACCCTAGATTCAGCTCTCCCCAAATGATCCTCCTTTTAATCTTCCCCACCAAACTCCTCCAGCGCCTGCGTAACACACACACTTACCTCATTTACTTCTATATCAAGGTATGTTGAAAACCATGCATTCACACTAATAACCTCTAATTCCAATCCAACACTAAAGAGTTCATTCTAGTTTTCTCCCTTCCACATTTCTAACTCCCTTCTGTTACAGTAAGAAACCTGCTTCCATTGTCTTTGACTACTTTTTTTTGAGTAATCCCCTGAATTTAGTCAATTTTCTGTCTTTGTCCTTCCCTGACAAAGATGCTCTTCTCTCCCTGACTGGGCTCTGACTTCCCAACCCAGGCCACCATTATTGTTGGAGCCCTTATCCTGCTTGGGTGTTCTTGCACAGAGCTAGCCAACCTCCATAGACATCATCTTGCTCAGGTGTGACACCCTATGCTAGGCCACCTTCCACAGGAAATCCCTCCTTACTCTGCCTAGACTCTGATTGCTGATGCTGGCTCCCTAACCCTCACCTGGAATCCATCCTTATCCCATTTAGGTTCTAAAACCCTACCCAAGATCCCCCTGGATGTGTGGAAGCTCTCCTTACCCTTCCTGGGCTCGAGTCTCCACCCTGGGCTACCCTCCCACATGGACAACTTCCTTACCCTGTTCAGCCTCTAAAACCCACACAGGTCTACCCTCTGCATGTACACTTTCCTCACTCTGTTTGGACCATGAAACCCCATGCCAGGTCTCCCACCTCCCAGGAAGGATCATCCTGCTTAAGCTCCCTGCACCTGGCTACTCCACCACATAGACGTCCTCTTCACCTTTCCAACACTGGCATCCCAGACCAGGCTGCTTCTGATACCCTCCCTATACCAAGCTATTGCCATGTGTGGACACTCTCCTCACTATAGAGTGTGGTTCCCCATGCTGGAAATACTCTCCCCCACTCTTGCAGAGATGTCCTCTGGACTCTTTTGGACTCCCACACCACTCTCAAGCCAACCTCCTGAATATCACCCTTCTCACCCTGCCTGAGTTCTGACATCCTGCACCAGGCCACTGTTACTCCCCCATCCCACCCTACATCAGATACCTACCTTGTTCTGCTCTACCTAAGATTTCATTTAGGACTGAACTGTTTGGTAAGGAAAGGGAAAAGGGTATGAAAAAAGGTAAGAGGGGGAAGGGCTGATTCTTGCAAATTTTCTAGCAAATAACTACTAGACCTAACAAGTACTTGCACACTTGCATGTGTGCACACATACACCCTCCTCCCAAGAGTAATCATTGATTATCAGAGCCTTAACAATCTAAGTTTGTAAAGAAAAGACAAAATATGTTCTTAAAGGTATCTCTCTTTCCCTGGAGTAAATTACATTATAACTGGATTACACTATATCACAAACAACCCCAAAATCTGAGTGGCTTACAACGGCAAACATTTATATCTCATTCACACTGCATGTGAGCTTATGGTCTGCATAAGGTTCACCGTAACTCTGCTTGGCTCTTCTCTTAGTATTTTCTCATTCTGGAACCTAGGTTTCTAGAGCAGCTCCTGATAAGCTGAAACATGCAGAAACATTCCAATCCTCTATTCAGATAAGGTATACATGATGTCCACTATGATCCCATTGGCCAATGGAAGTCACCTGGACTGGATATGAATAGGACAGGGAAGTACATTCTACCTACAGGAAGACATGTCAAGGGCAGCAAAATATCACAGACTGTGTGGCTTAAACAACAATCTATTTTTCAGTTCTAGCAGCTGGTAAGTCTAAGATCAAGATGCCAGCAGATTTACTATCTGGTGAGAAACCCCCTTCCTAATTCATAGATGGCTGTCTTCTCACTACGTCCTCACTTGGCAGAAGTGGTGGGGGAACTCCCTGGGGTCTCGTGTGTAAGGACACTGATCCCATTCATGGGAGTTCTACCCTGGTGACCTGTCACCTGCAAAAGGCCCCACCTCCTAAGACCATCACATCAGGAATTAGGATTTCAACATATGAATTTTCAGGAGACCCATTCAGTCTGTAGCACTCTTTAAATAATTTAGCCAAGGGATCTCTAGAGCAGTGATCTCTAAAATGGGGCACAATACCCCAGGGCACAGAAATAAAATACTAGAACATCTATTAATAGGTATTTAAAATGTTAAGTAAAATAAGTTTTATTACTACCATACAGGCTCAGTGTTGGTTGCATGTCATGTGTGGTACAGAGTCTATCACGAGAAAAGAGTGGAGGTTCCACAACTCTTTAAGTTGATGGTGTACCTTCACTTGTTCATTCACTCTCTGTATGTTCCATCATATTGTAGTTTAAGTATCTGTGTAATTAACAATCTGGCTGCCCTTTGTACCCAGTTCCTGGGAGGTAGCCTCTAAATCCTTAGAATTTCCTAATATGAATGTCTTTGTTATTCACAGTGGGCCCTGACAGTTTATGCCAAAGAAGTCACTCTGAGTGAGCCCCTAGTTTGTGCTAACAAGATGATTCAAGATAGAGACTGACCAAGCCATAAAGACCAAACATGGGATTAGAGGGCTTGGGCTTTGAGCCATGAGAAATCAGCCCAGACTGGGGAAGGATGGAGACTGAGTTCAACCTTGTGGCAAATGACTCAATCAAGCATGCCTACATAACAAACTCCAATAAAAACTCTAAGCACTGAAGCTCAGGCGAGCTCCTCTGACTGGTAATACTATGTGTATTGTCATACATTAATGTGCATCCACAGGGACAATGAAAGCTTCGTCTTTGGGACCCTCTCAGAGCTCACCCTATGCATCTCTCCCTTTGGATAGTTCTGATTTTATAACCTTTTGCTATAATAAAAGCATGGCTGGCACTTTTCTGAGTCCAGTGTGTTGTTCTAGCAAATTATCAAACCTGAGGGAGTCATGGGAACCCCCAAATTTGTACAAAGTTGATCGGAAGTAAGCGAAGTCCTGAAGTTCCCCAAACTTGTGGCTGGTATCTGAAATGAGGGCAGTCTTGTGGAGGACTATGACCTTAATCTGTGAAATCTGGCGTAATTCCAGGCAGTTGGTATCATAAATCATTACAATACCTCAAAATGACTAGTTTCTTAAGATATTAAATATTTGTGATTTTTTTTTTAACAAGATGGGAAGTGACCATCTTGTTCACTTTGGCAAATTACTTAAAAGAATTGGGAAACTTAATTATTGCTATGCTTAAAAAACAACAAAAAAAGAAGTGTTCTAATTCTGCTCACTTCTCCAGTGCTATGAAATAGCTTCCAGTGCTATGCTTTAGCAGATGTTAAGGCACAAAAGCATGCGTGTGCGCACACACACACAACCTGTGCTTTCAAGGTAAAGGTGATTTTTAATAGTGAGAAGACAACTACTTTATAAAAGAAACTTATGGAAACAGTGGTTGGAAAACTGATGATGAGGAAAAAATATTTCCATCACGTTGTGATTTTCCTTTTGCCAAAAATTATATCAGGATATGGCTTATCCATCTTCCTTTCTGAAATCTTCAAAATGGATGGTTTTAGTGCATTTTGAACTCATTTATTAATGAGTTTAAAATATAACACTCAGGGCGCCTGGGTGGCTCAGTCGTTAAGCGTCTGCCTTCTGGCTCAGGTCATGATCCCAGGGTCCTGGGATCCAGCCCCGCATTGGGCTCCCTGCTCAGCGGGAAGTCTGCTTCTCCCTCTCCCACTCCCCACTGCTTGTGTTCCCTCTCTCGCTGTGTCTCTCTCTGTCAAATAAATAAATAAATAAAATCTTTAAAAAAATAAAATGTAGGCGCCTGGGTGTCTCAGTTGGTTAAGCAGCTGCCTTCAGCTCAGGTCATGATCCTCGAGTCCCAGGATCGAGTCCCACATCGGGCTCCCTGCTCAGCGGGGGTCTGCTTTTCCCTCTGACCCTCTTCCCTCTCATGCTCTCTGTCTCTCATTCTCTCTCTCTCTCAAATAAATAAATAAAATCTTTAAAAAAATAAATAAATAAAATGTAACACTCATAAGTTTGTAAGAACCAGATTAGTATCATGAAAGAAGATATCTACTAGGTGGTTTTAACAAAAAGATTTATAGAGAGAATTGAAAGAGAATCATAACTTCTTAAGTACAGCTAATGATATTCTTCCCATTTGAGCCATGTCATTATGAGGTATGTTTTACAACTGATAGCTATTAAAAGCAAGAACTGAAATAAATCAAACTTATAACTAATCAGATATTTTGTTCTCCTAATAAGTAACATTAAATTTAAAATTGTTTTAAAATGTTATTTACTTTGCCTTTACCACATCCTTTTTATTTTTATTATAATATACGTAATGGAC